CGCTCGCGCCGCGGCCCGGCTCGCGGTGCGCGTGGCGCCCGGCCCGCCGCCCTCCTCCGCGACGGCTGCAAACCCGCTTGAAAAGCCAGGCTTGTCCCAAGCCAAAAGCGGCGCGGAGAGGTGAGGGGCACAAGGAGCCTTGTGTGCACGGCGCGCTCCACAACGGGCGCTTTGTTCGGCGCCCAGCGCCGCGGGGTCTCTTATCAGCGTCCTGCTGTCAGCGGAGCCGGGCCCGGTGGCCGCCGCTATCTGGGCAGCTTTGGAGCTGCCGGGCAGGTGCATCCGTGGGGGAATGTGCTGCCAGGGCAGCCCCGCTGCCCTCATCCCGCCAGAGCGGCAGGAGGGCACGGCACCGGCGCCGCGCTACAGCCCATGGCTCGCTTAGGAGCCCCGGAAATATGCTATGCATTATACACACACATATATATATGTATGTATATACACACATACATAAAAAGCCCTGCTTATTCCCCCCCGGGCGCAGCCTGGCCTCACCTTTCTGTTCTTACTGACTCGGATGTCTTGCCTCGTCCCTGGGTTTTCCTACTACTATAAATAGAGCCCCGAGCACGGAGCCTCCGGCAGCCGCCGGGAACGGGAATTTGCAAGGACAGGAATCAGCTTGGATCGTGTCTCCTGCCGGGGCGTTGCAGGATGCTGCGACACCCCGGGGCTCCGCAGCAGCCCCGGGGCTGCAAAGCGTCCGCCCGGCACGGGAGGGTCTCCCTGCCCTGTCCTGGCTGTAGATGCCGGGAGCGCCGCGCTTGCCGAAATGCCAACGCCGAGGGCTCCGTGGTGGCCGCAGTGGGCACCGGCGCGGAGGGGACCTCGCGGCACCTGCACCCTGTGCACGGCAAAGCAGCAGCCAGCGCCGGGGCACATGTGCAACCTGGGCGGCTCAAGGGCTTAGTGCGATCCCGACCCCGGAGGCGCGTGGCCGACGGCACCAAGCAGGGATTAGCTCCCAACACAAGGGATCCATTTCGCAATTTCTTTTCTGCTTTTTTTCCCCCAAAAAGCAACACAGCTCGGCAAGCACGTGCAGGGCAGGGCTGGCAGCACGAGCTGCTGGCTCCCGTCACCGCAAAGAGGGGCAGAGAGCACGAGGGGTAGCGCTAAGGGCACCAATCCCTCCTCTCCAGGGCTGCCGCTTGTTAGCACGGGCAGAGCCAGCCTAAAGCCGGGATTGCAGGGAGCTTAGAGGGGCTCGATGGCTGAATCCCCTGGAGCTGCAGCAGGAATTCGGTACTTAGCGTCCGCAGCCGCCTTTGAAGATCCCCACGAGGGCAGCTTGGCCGCAGAGCAGCGCAGGGCTTTCCTAAAGCTAACGAGCGTCCCCCCCCCCGAGCGGCCTCGTTAGGCGGGCGCAGAGCCCGGCTCCTGCCAAGCACCTCGTTGCCTCAGGTGCCACTCACCGCGTTGAAGTTGGGGAAGAGGTTGAGCGGCGACGTCCCGTTGAGGCGGAAGGTCAGGAAGTGCTTGATGTCCAGCGGGGTGTGGAGCGGGCGGCCCGGGATGGGAAGCGAGGCCAGGAGGGGGCTGCTGTGCCCGGCGGGACCTGCGCGGGGGACAGCAGAGCTTGAGCTCGGCACACCCCCAAAGCCCCGCTTTGTGCTCCAAACCTACTAGTCGCGCGCAGCACCTGCACGCGGACACCAACGCGCGCCCGACGCGCTTGAGAAGGGCTCTGCGGCGCCCGCAGCCCCGGGCCGGTGCCCCCGGCTCCCGTGGGTGCTGCCCCCCACCCAGCGCTGCTATTTTGGGTGGAAAGCGGCGGGCTCCCCCCCGGCAGCGCTGCCGGAGCCGCCCCCGCGCCGGCAGCCGCGCTGCAGCCTCCCCCGCGCGCTAATTGCCAGCTCCGGGGTGCCACCCAAAAATAGCCCCGAGTTAATAATAGTTTTCTTTAAATAAGAGTAAGCGGCCCCCGAGGAGCGCGGCCCCGGCAGGACGGTGCCAGCCCCGGGCATCGCCCCGGCCCCGCGCGGGGCACTGAGAGCGGCCCGACCGAGCGTGGCGGGATGCAGCCCGCGCACAACGTCACCCTTGCCTTGTCCCTTTGTCCCCTTCGCGTGAAGGGAACGCAGGAGCTGGCGGGGGGAACATCTGAAAGGGAAGCGGGGGGCGCGCAGCCCCGCGGGCCCGGACGACCTCTTCTGCGCCAGCGCGCGGGCGCCGCGCCAGCCCGGCGGCACCGGCCGCGAGTCGCTGCCGGCTCCGGGCGCACAAGCGCATCTTGCTTCGCCAGGCGTGCGCTGATCGAATTAATTCCAAAGTCACCCAGGAGGGAGAGCTGCAAAACGGCTCGGAAATAAATAAATAAACAAGGCAGGGTCGAGGAAGGCTGCAGAAGCGAGCAGGGGAATAAATAGCAAATAAAAGGGTGAGCGCAGCCTCACGGGTGTGCCAGGGCGCAGAGCGGCGGCTGCAGCAGCCGGGCACAGCAGGGCCCCGCAAGGAGCCTGAGCGCGGTCACGCAGCCCGCGCATCCCTTTGCCCTTGGCCACCAGCTCCCGTCCCTTCTCCAGCCACGAGAACCGCATTAAAGCTAACGAGGGGCAGCAGGACGAGGAGCTGCGACTGACGCAGCTCGGAGCCAAGGGGAGCGCGCGGGTGAGGGGGGCCGCGGGAACAGCGCCCGGGTGGCGGGTGTCCCCCGCCGCATCCCGGGCACCTTGGCCAAGGTCACACCGTGGCACCGCTTCCTGCCGCGGCCGCCGTTGCTGCGGGCTGGATTCCGGCAGCAGCTGCGGGCCGTATTTTTAGGCTTTAATTAGGCACCCAATTAAGGGGCTTTGCTGTGGCAGTCCTGGGTAGGGTGACATGACCTTAGCGGCGGGCCCCGGCCGGGGTGTCCGGGCGCATCACTTTGTCCCCCACTTTGCTCCCAGGCTCCCTGCAAGGCAGCCCTGGCAGCGCAGGGGCTGCAGCGCCGGCACGGCGGCCTCGTGCCACAGCCCGGCTCCTGGGCACGCACCGGGGCTCCCCGCACCCACCGGGGCTCTCTCCCCTTCCATAGCCAGGGCGGCATCTCCTCCAGCCCGGCACGGAGGGAACTGGCTCCTGCTCCAGCCTGGACCTGCTGTGCGGGACCCCAATGGCTGCAGCTCCTGCAGGGAGCAGCGTCCAGCTCGGTAAATCCTCCCCTTGCAGCTCCAAGAATCCAGCACCTCCTCCTGGGCTGCACGGAGGGAAGCGGCGGCGCTGAGGTCACCCTCACGCGGATGGCACCACGCTCACGGTGCCCACGAGGCAGGCGGCACCGCGCGGGACGGGGGCAAGGGCTGGTGCCGGGCGCCTGCCAGGAGCCCCCGAGACCTGTCGGGGCTTTGGCCGCCGCAGGACAAGTGCGTCGCCGCAGCGGCCGAGCGCACTCGGGTGCATCCGTGCCCGGGCACCGAGGCAGGGAGCTGCGGCAGAGCCACGCCACGCAGGTTGAATCCTGGCCACCCTGCAGACTTACCCCAGCGTCTCGGCCGGGACACGGCTCAGCACGGCCGGCAGCTTCTCCGCGACCGACAGAACAAGGCGACGGCACCACAAGCCGGTGATGGAGCGGAGGGGAGCCCGGCACACGGGACGCAGGCTCCATCGGGAGCCCCGGCTGCGGGCGCGCGAGAAGGACACGACGCGCCAAGGCTCAGCTTTCCTCTTTATTGCACCTTGCGATCAGGGCAAAGCGGCTTCCTCCTCACCCGAGAGCAGAGCATGCAGCACCCACGGGTGCCCACGCAGGAGACGTGCCAGGCAACACCCCCGGCTTCTCCTCTGCACGGGCGGCAATGCTTCAAGGGGGAAAAACAAGCCAGGAAAGCCCTAAACTAGACAGCACTCCAGCTCGTCCCATAAGGCAGCATTAAAACGCTTGCTTTGGTTGCAAAACTGTGGAGGGAGCTTAGGTGCACGCTGCTGTTCCGAAAAGAGAAGGAATTCACTTGTTTTTTGGACCCCTGCTTATAATTTATTCTGTCATTGCAAAAAAAGAGAAGTCCTTTTAGATATCTTTACACTTTAAACACTAGGAAAGTTAAGATAAATCTCTTATATATATTTATGTATATATTTATATATGTACATACACATATATACACAAAGATGCATTTAGGAGTTACCATTTCCTCGGTCACTACGATGCCGTTCCCTAGAGGACTCGCTGTTGAGATGATCAAGACTTGGATCCAGCGCTAAAAACACTCGGTGCTGCGTGCAGGGACTAGCAAGGAGCCGCCTCCGGGCGCCCACGGCTCCGCCGGCCAGCTCGGGACCTGGCACCGTCCCTGCCCTCCTTCCCCAGCCTTGGAGGGGACCGAACGCGGCTATTTCTGCCGAGTGTGAAGTGAAGGCGGCCGGGTGCCGCAGTGCCGAGGCCCCGTCCCAGCCTCGCTCCTGGATTCACTCTCATCTCCCCTCAGGAAAGCTCCTTGGGAAAGTGCACAACGCAGGGAAGCTCCTGCCGGGGCTCTTGGCTCTGGCCAACGGAGACGCGTGATCCGGGGGCAAAGGGAGAGGGAAGGAGCCCGTTGCTTCATCCCTGGAGCGCCGGGGCTCTCCGGCCTCGGCGGCGCCGCTCACTTCACCTGCGCCGCGAGGCAGCCGGACTCCCGCATGCCCTCGTAGTACTCGACGGCCAACGCAAAGTCAAACTCGTTGACGGGCGGCCCGTCGACGGCGATCTGCACGAGGTCGGAGAGCCCGTCGTCCGCGGCGCAGCACGGCCGCCCCCGCGCCAGCAGCTCCCGGGCCCGGCTCAGCTTGGCGGCCAGCCCGGAGCCCAGCGGCAAGGCCAGCGCCACGGCGGCCAGGACGGCGAAGTCCGGAAAGAGCTCGTGCATCTCGGAGCTGCCGCACGCCAGCTTGGCGCAGAGCTCCTTGAAGGAGAGCGGCCCGAGGCTGAGCACGACGCGCTTGAAGAGCGGGAAGTCGCCGCGCGCACGCTCGCTCTGCACCACGCGCGAGTACGTCCGCAGCAGGAAGTCCAGCTCGCCCACGCCGTAGGCGCCCACCTCCTCCAGCGCGCGAGGGTAGCGCCTGGGGTTGAAGATGGCCGAGAAGGAGCTGAGGGCCTCCAGGAGGCCGCCGGGGAAGCTCTCGAGGAGGCCGCCGCGCGCGCTCTCCAGGTAGCTCTCCTTGAGGCGCTCGAAGCGCTTGCGGTGCGCCGGGGAGCTCTGCTCCAGCTGCACGCCGCGGTAGCGCGGGCGGCCGTCGCGCGCCGCGCTCAGGAAGGCGCCGAGGTGGCGCCCGCCCGCGTCCCTCTGCGCCCGCAGCGCCGCCGCCGCCGCCGCCACCGCGGGCGCCAGCAGGGCCGGGTCCGAGTCCTCGCCGTGGAAGAAGCCGCGGAGCTTCTGGAAGACGGGCAGGGCGTCCAGGAGGGTCTTGGTGAAGGCCACGAACTGGAAGCTCTTGAGCTCCCGGCAGAGGCGCAGCAGCAGGGCGGACCGCGCGGCCTCGCGCTCCAGCAGCGGCACGAGCGCGGGCCACGCGGCGTCCAGCGCCTCCACGGCGGGCAGCAGCGATGCCCAGCGCACGGCGCG